CTGGTCCTTATTAAGCAACTCCGTCAGTGGAGTTGCACGCTTCGAGATCCCCGCTATGAAGCGTCGATAGTAGTTGACGAAACCAAGGAAGGATCTAAACTCTGGCACGTTCTTTGGAGTTCGTCATTCCGCAATCGCTTGCACTTTTGATTTGTCCATACGAATGGAGCCATCACCGATTCGATGCCCCAAGAATAAGATATCCGTTTGGGCAAAGTAGCATTTCTCCCTTTTCACGAACAAAGTGTTCTCCCTGAGAACCTTAAAAATTGTCCGAAGGTGCAGGATATGCTCCTCGAGCGTTTGACTATAGACGATGATATCGTCCAAGTAGACGACCACGAACTTGTCTAAATACTCCTTGAATAGTTGGTTCATGAGAGTGCAAAACGTGGCCGGAGCGTTGGTTAAGCCGAAAGGCATCACCAAGAACTCAAACGCTTCATACCTGGTCACACAGGTAGTCTTCGCTTCATTGCCTTTAGCAATGCGCACCTGCCAATACCCCGACCGAAGGTCGAGTTTTGAGAAATACTTGGCTTTGCCCAACTGGTCGAACAAGTTCGCGATGAGTGGGATGGGATACTTTCAGGACGTTTGCCACCACAGCAGGTTCTTGAATAGCCTTCTCGTCGAGTTACTCTAGCTTCATAGCAGCCACGAAGGTTAATTCACCTTTTCGCATCCCTTTCTTCAGTTGCAATACCGATATATGTTGGGGTTCCTTAGTTCCTCTCCGAGAGACGGGAACCACGTAGGGGTCGTCACCTCCCATCATACACAAGGAGTTTAGGAACGACATAGGCACCAACTTCGCCGCATGCATAAACTCCATTCCAAGAATCACTTGGAAGTCGTCCAATGGCACTGCCATCATGTTGGTGTTCCCGCTTCATTTTCTGATCTTGATGGGAACTCCCTTTGCTAACCCGGAGATTCGCTTAGCCTCCAAGTTCACCGCCTTCATTCGACTTGGGCTCTTCTCCAAGATCAACCCAAGTCGCTTTGCTTCTCGATCGGCTATGAAGTTGTGGGTAACACCCGTGTCCACCATTACACGGGTCGTTTGGCCATTTAGCTTGATGTCTACGTACATCAGCTCACCACTTCCTGTTTTTTGTAGCTTTGTCTTCGTGTTCTCCCCCACTTGACCCTGCATGGTGTTCAACAAATGCATTGCTCCCATTCGGGGTCCTTGCGACTCCTTGTCATCGCTGCTGAATTCAGAACTGCTCGAACTAAGAGCAACAGCTTTGCCCTTTTCTGACCGAGGGGGGTGGATGGAAGCTGTTAAAGCATTGAGTGCCTGCTTTTGTGGGCACTCCCTCACCATGTGCGGCCCTCCGCACAAGAAGTATCCGCCAGGTTTCGAGGCCTTGCCCTTCGGGCTTGGCCCTTTGTGGGAACTCTTTTTCTTTTGTTCGCCCCCGAGCTCATTCCCTTGATAATACTTTAGAGGGCGATTGGCTGAAGATTGTTTCCTTCTTCCCGGGTCTTCAGAGGAAACAAAGTTGGTGAGCCTTTCTGCAGCAGCAATTGCCCCGACCACATCGGTGACATTCCTTCGATTTAGTTCTTGTTGAGCCCATGGCTTCAAACCATCGAGGAAGCTGGACAGCTTGTCCTTCTCGGACATGTCCTGTATATCCAGCATTAGCACAGAAAATTGTTTCACGTAGTCTCGGATGGAAGTACTCTGGTGGAGTTGTCTCAACTTTCTTCTTGCGACGAACTATGTGTTCTCCGGTAGGAACTGAGTTCTCAACTCTCGCTTCAAGTCCTCCCAAGTGTCAACCCGACATCGACCTTGTTGGATCTCCTCCCAACGGGTTCGCCACTAAAGTTTCGCATCTCCGTTCAGATACATTGTTGCTATAGAAACTTTGGTATCTTCATAATCGGGCCTCGTAGCTCGAAAGTATTGTTCCATGTCGAACAGAAAATTCTCGAGCTCTTTGGCATCTCTGACCCCTCCATAACCATGAGGCTCGGGTGCCCTCAAGTTTTGTGGTGGTGAAACGCGGGTGTTGCTTCCTCCCGCATTTAGTGCTCTTGTGAGCATGGCCACCCTTGAAGTGAATTCCGCCACAACATCCTGCAAGTGTTGCACAGAGTCTTTGGTGTCATCAGACAGTCGGTCGACTATGGCCTCGACCTTGTCGATCCTGGACTCCGCTTCCTCTTGCGAGCTCTCTACCCCAACAAGCCTTTGTTGGCCATGGTAGAGTTCCTCCATGCTCGCTTCAAGAATATCCAAGCGGGTTTCCGCCGTTGTGAGTCTCTCCTTGTGACTCTTTTTCCCAGTTGACACTCTAGATTGCGCCTCCTCCGCTCGTGGAGAGTAGCCAACTTCTCGCTCATCATGTTCGTTGCCGCACTCCTCTTGAGCGGCTCCAATAGCATGAGAGCGAGTATGCACATACAGCCCACCTACGGCTGCTTGGGGCAAGGGTCCGGCTTGCCCCGTCTTGCTTGATTCGCCACGATGCTTTACCATGGCGAAGTTGCGAAGTTCCTTCGTTGCTCGCTCGAAGTCCTTACCCGCTCTGATACCACAATGTCACGACCTTAGCTGGAATTGTCTAAGGCGTGAGGCACCCTTGCGGCCAAGACGCAGACTTAGCTTGCGTTGCCTAAGTCGCGAGGCACCCTTGCGGCAAAGACGCGAACTTAGTTTGCCTTACCTAAGTCGTGCTTCGCCCTTGCGATATTGCTCCGCAAAGATCAGCCCACTTGCAACCTCTCGCAGGTCCCTAAGGACTTGTAAAAGAGAAAGTTGATTAGTTCGAAAGAACGAGCGACGGACAAGTCCCGAAGTCTCGCGAAAGGGGGAAGCTTTACAAGCAATTCAGCGAGCACCTTGCGTGCACAAGAGAAAAGAGGGAGAGGGGGAAAACAAGGACTTTAGAGGGTTGAACGAACAATTGCAAGTCCACAAACAACTGCTCACCGGGTGCCGGGCGCGACAACAAGTTCCCGTCAAGGTAACGTGTGAACTTGCGAAAGGTTGTTCAACGCCTGACATTATACCGAAGCCCCATCCAGCCTTGTGCCACCCGGGGGGTTGAAAGGGGCTGAGATGGCTGACGTTTTGGTGAGCGGAAGCGGACTGCAGAAAACAGCCCGTGGCACATGAAAACGGAGCTGTTTTGGGGCTGTTTTGCTTGATTCGGTGAGCGGTCGCTTTGTAGCGCTATAACTTGTTCGAACTTACATTTTTACAAGCAAAATGACTCGAAACCAAGACAAAACATGCTACCAAGCAGCTGTACATGTAGATGAGTGCGACGAACGATTCGTTGAACGGAGTTGTTGTGAGTGCGCGATGACCGTTCGTGACAGTGCCTCGCCATTTTAATCATCTTATTTTTACTCTATAAATAATATATTCATCGATCTCTTTGACTTGTTGAATAATTGATCCAAGATACCTAAAGCTTTTACTTAAAGGAACATATTGTTCATCCAACTTAACTATATTATCCTATCTATTTCTAGAATCACTAAAATTACATTTTATATATTCAATTTTAGTCTTACACTCTTACTTAATCTAAAACATTTATTTTCTAAGTCTTGCCTCCATAGCTCATGTTTATAATTAATTCCACTTATACTCTTATCAACTAAGACAATTTCATTAACAAATAACATACAAAGTGACTAGTGAGTTCATCCATTATCAATGTGAAAATGTAGGGACTTAATGGCGGATCCTTGATGTAATCCTATGCTAATAGGAAACTCACTAGACACACTCTCTATAGTTCTAACACTAGTAGCTATAATGTCATACATATCTTTAATAACATTAATATAATTAGTGAATACACCTTTCTTTTCTAAAACTCACCATAATAAATCTCTAGGAACCCTATTATAGGCTTTTTCTAAGCTAATAAAAATCATATGCAAATCTTTGGTTTTCTCCTTATACTTTTTCATTAGTTGTCTTAATAAATAAATAGCTTTTATGGGTGATCTTCCAAGCATAAAACCAAATTAATTTTTAGAGATATTTGTTTCAAGTTTTATCCTACTTTCGATAACTTTTTCTCAAAGTTTCATAGTATGCCTCATAATTTTAATTTCTTTATAATTTGAATAATTTTGTATGTCATCCTTATTTTTATAAATTGGTACTAAAAAACTCTTTCTTCATTCATCATACATTCTTCCAAATCTCATGATTTTGTTAAATAAGCTAGTTAATCAATCTATTCTCTCTTATACTATTTCATACCTCAATAGGGATATCATCAAGCCCCATAATTTTAGTTATTTTTATCTTCTTTAATATGTCTTTTACTTCATTAGCTCTAATTTTATGAACAAATCTATGATTATTAAATCTACCATTATTATTTATTGTTAAATCTAAGTCCTATGTAAAATATTCATTAAATAATTTATAAAAATAATTTTTTTCATCTTTCCTTAATCTCGTTATCATTAACAGGTATTCTTTAATCTATGCCTTTAATGCATCTAATATTATCTAAATCCTTTCACTATCTTTCCCATGATTTAGCAATTGGATATATATATTTTTTATTATCTTTAGTACCTAATTTATTATAAAAATTATTATAAGCTTTATATCTTGCCATACTAATCATTTTTTAGTCTTTTTTTAGATTCTTTATATCTTTTAAGTTTTCCTTATTTTTATAATTTTACCCATCTTTAAAACATAATCCTTTAGTAAAAATTGCTTTTTTAATTTTCTCGCACCACCATTAACACTTTCTTAAGGTTACACCTCTACCTTTAGTTTCATTAAAAATCTTCTTTGTTAAACTCCTAATCTTATTAGCCATCATAGTTCAAGTAATATTAATGTTATCCTCATCTAGGTTTCCAAGCCATCTCCTTTTATATTCTATTCTTAAAAGTGTTTACATTTCTAGCCTATTCTTATCTATGTTTGTTTTATGGTTTATTTACATTATATTTTTTTCTTCTCTTCATGGTTCTGTATTCAAATTTCTGTGTTTCAGAAATGCTTAGGTGGAGCTGAAGCTTTAGAAAGGCTTTTAGGCACTGCACAATGTAGATCTCTTACTTCTGAAGTGGTATGCAGGCAGAGGAGTGAATGATGCTCTTATTCTGATTTCTTGCCATCTACAAAATATTGTATACAATTCATGTGCTTCTTCTTCATTTTGTACCAGCCTTTGCTTATCCAGTTCCGCATGTTCAACAACGGAAGAGCTGTTAAGGGAACTCTTCTTCTAAATAAACTTGTAAGCTTAAATAAATTTGCAAGTTCACTATTTTAATATTTACTAGTTATGTCATTGTTGAAGTTGTCATTCACTCTCAATTTCATTGTGATTTATAGAAGATTCAATGGTATCGAACCTGAAATATGGCCCAACACAAGGGCACTTAACTATTCATGCATTTATTAGAATGAATTTTTGGAAACTTGTAGTTAATTTTCCATTTAAGGTTTGGCCTTTTTGTGGTTGACTATTGGATAACTTACTAGGTTATCAACTTTTGTGATTCTTATATTTGGAATTGGTGATGGTCCTGCTATATGTTCTTAGCTAATAAAGAAATTGTTTGGGAATAACTTTGAAACCTTAAACACATGTTTATAGTTTTAACTTTTTGTTTTGTTGAAAACAGTAGATGTATGATTAATTTATACTGTGCATGTGTCTATGTAGCTTCCTCCGGAAACTATACAGGTACGGCGTTCCATGATAAAGGTTAAATCAGACCCAAATATTTCATATATTCAATCTTGCAACTCCATAGAGATTGTTGCCACAAGGTATGTATGCATGACATAAAATGAAGATTCTGGTGATTATGCTAACATTGGGTTTGGTCTGATTTTTTGTTGTAGAATTGCTTTTCCTTTTAGCCATGACCACCATTCTTGTTGCTGTGGGGCTTGTTGGCTGTAGATATGTTACTTTTCTTAGTCGATTTCTTTTAATTAATTTTACATAGGAATCTGTTGACAAGGTGCCTCATTTAATATCAATACTGTCAGACAATCTATGGCATCAAAATTTCTAGAAACAAAGTTCGTTTCCTTCACTTTTTTCGTAGCTTTTTGTTTCATATGCATTTTCTGTAAAGAAGCGAACAATAACTACATGTTCATTAGTATATAAGAATTAACCAACATGAGTTGTGTTGATGTGAAAAATAGCTGACAAGGCATTGTGTATGATATAGACACTACTAAACTGGTCCACAGGATCTAAAGTTCCTGGAAACCAAAATTCACATAATAAAAATTTCATGGCTTTTTAGTCGATGTATCTAGTGGAAACAAAATGAATGGGAAGTATGAATTTGTATACATAAGGATAAATCAAGATTGTTTATTATTTGGTCTGCCTACTTGTCTATTGGTAACTTTTTTTTGTGTGTTAAAGACATGTTTCCTATTGCTGGTAATTTGCAAGTGCAGCTTGTACTTCTGGTATCAGAAATTGTTTATCAAGATTTTGTTTTCACATTATCTCAGCAATCAACCAAAGCGGACTTGCTTATCAAGGCACTTGATTGTGTTGCTTCACTACGGAGGAGTTCCCAAAGAATTCTTTTTGGAACTTTTGATGAATTCTCTGGATGATGCCCAAAATGCTAGGTACAGCAAACAGGCAGCACTTCGAGGTAATTTTTAAGATGAAAATACATAGTTGGATCTCTTGGTGGGTTCATACTCTACTATTTTGTTATTTTTGACATTTAAGTGATAATTGACTCTGCAGCAATTGGATAAATTTATTTTGAGTCTCTGGACATCCCTGGTCAGATAAAGAGAGTGTCTATGTTTCATGGCTTTGGTTCATAATTTTCTTACCAGAGGTGTCATTTGTTAGCTTTTTTAACTTTCCTGCTTTTCTTTGTTTTGTAGTTGCACTGAAGTATGGGGATATGGATGATTTCCTTGTGTCCCGAATGATACTTTGTGGAATGCCACTTGATGAGCCATATCTGCAGTTTCGTCTTTCAATTCTAATGAGAGAAGAAAGGAAGAGTTTGAAGACAGGAAAGCTTCCAGTGATGGATTGTTATTATCTAATGGGGACTGTAGACCCCACAGGGTTGTTGAAACCTAATGAAGTTTGTGTTATACTGTATGTATTGCCTAGTGAAGTTTGCTCAGGACTCTTCAACTATTTTAATAGATATTTATCCCATTATTTTTCCAGTTTGTCATTTCTTGCTTGCATGAATCTTCAGTAATATTCTAAACTTAACAGTCCGTAATGCTTAAAAATTTGGTCTCGTGCAGTGAAAATGGGCAAGTTTCTGGAGATGTTCTTGTTTATAAGCATCCAGGGTTGCACTTCGGTGACGTACATGTTCTGACTGCAACCTACAATAAGGACTTAGAGAAGTTTGTAGGATATTCTAAATATGCTATTTTCTTCCCAACTAAAGGGCCACGGTCTTTAGCTGATGAGATGGCAAACAGTGATTTTGATGGTGATATGTACTGGGTCTCCAGAAACTCACAGGCTAGTATTTTTCTTTTTATTAGACATTTTCTATATTCTTAATAAATGTATTTCATCCTGGAACATATCATGTAGAATTGTTCTGTTCGTGCTTAGGTTTTGGCCATTTGCTCCAGTGTTCCACATGCCTGACACAGATATGAGTAGTAAGCATTGATATATAATGATTTTTTATCATAAATGAGTGCAACATTCATTTCTGTTTCCTATTAACTGAATGAGAAAACATAAGGTTGCCTTTATTTTTAATTGTTTGGTCCTATGTATTAAAAACTGGTTGGACTGGTATGATAGCAGTGTATTAGGTGGTATACCAACTTGCATCGCTTGTTATCATTGGAAAAAATTAATAAAGAACCAAATCCAATCTGTACCAGTATATATGTTCTAGTATTGGTCTTTGTTTGGACCAGCAAATAACGGTCAATACATACTAGTTCATCCGGTATTTGTAAACTTGCTATGATTTACAATAAAATTTTTGAGTTGCTGTGGTTGATAAATTTACTTAATAGGAGAAAAAAGTTTCAGGTATTGAAAGTTGGAGAGTGACTAGTTTAGAGCTTAAGATGATTTGATTAGAGCCAAAATGACCTTATTTAGGCCCAACAATTGTTTACATTATTCTATGAGAAGCTACTGGAACTTCAGTTTTCTCTACTATGGTTAAAGAAATAAATTGAAATCAAGTAAATACTGTCCTTTTCTTCTGAACTTGAGTTGTAACACTGAAACTTTTGTCATTTGGATGGTACACGTATAAAATTGTTTTTGGAGTTTTTATACTATCTGTAACATCTCTTATCTTTTAACTGTGATAAGTTGGTTGTGGTGTTTATGTATAGTCATATCTGAAATGAGCAGTCATTGTCCTCTGTCTTGTGTCTAGCACATGGGACTACAGATGTGTGCTCCTTTATTTTATGATTTAATAATCTACATGGTATTAACTATTAAGTATGGCAACCATGTTTTTTGAGGTGAAGTATGTAAGAAGTTTCTTGGTGTTACCGTTCGTTGCTAATGCAATTTCTATGTTTTATGATTTAATAATTTACTTGGTATTAAGCAGTAGCTCACCATGTTCTTTAGGCAATCTATGCAAATAATTTCTTGTTGTTATCCTTCATTGCTCGTTATTTTTCTGTTTCAGATCCTATTCCTAGTTTTAACTAATTTCTGCAAAACCATCAGATGCACCGGATATGGTAAATCTTTGGTGCTTCTCAAGTAATCTACAAATTACAATGCATCTTGGAAGACATGGCTTAGTTCTCTCCTTGTTTGCTGTAGATTCCATAATTTGTACAATTATGGTTGGACATTCTCCTAGATTATAATATTATATCAAGTTTATGCTACTGCTTTTACACTTGGAACATTTTATACTACCTGATTAATCATGCATTATCCTTCTTTGTTCAGTTGTTGCAATATTTTAGGAGTAGCATGCCATGGACTCCGACACCTTCAAATATGAGAGGCATTCAACAAAAAAAACCTATTGAGTTTTCTAGTAAAGAATTGGAAAGGGAACTCTTCCAACAATTCTTGATCAACAGATTCAAGCCAAGGTATTTTCATGTGTATCATTTCATATGAACTCACTAATTATGGAGTCAGAACTATGTCTATTCACTTAGACACCATCTGCAAACAAGTAGAATTGCAACATTGTTTTAAAGATGGAAGTGAATTTTTAGCCTGACAAACTAGCATCTTCAGTTGTTCCTGTACCTTGTCTAGGTTTTCCTATGAGTCACTTGACTGATCAAGAATAGATTTATCATATTATGATCCAAATTTTCAAGCTCAAGTCCACTCTATAAGAAATTCAAAAGCTGTCAAAACTAAAAAGGTTGGTCAGTCATTCATTTTTCACTTTTGCAAAAGTGAAAGTTGGGTAGGAAGGAAATGTGTTAGTACATATTCTAGAGGATGATGAATATGCCAAAACTAAGACTTGGCTTCTTTTTTGAAAATTTTATATAGAACAAGATAGAGATTGTTGCACTTTATTACTCTACGACAGGTATGCTTTGCAAAATAATGGATCTGTGAGGTGCTTCATTGCTTCCTCTCAGGTCACAACACTGTAGTTTATTGTGGTTGTTTCTGAGCGCAGAACCAGGATTTAGCAGGAGTGGGGCCCAAAAAGGGTGCAGTTTTGGTCATGTCAATAATTGTTTGCTAAGATCCATAAGTATGTTGGAAAAAATAATCGCATAAAAGGAAAGGAATTATCCTATTGTTATGGCTGTATTATTTGATCATATAGCCAACCATTGATAATAGTTACTAGTGATAAGTGTTACATAGCACGAGGGTATGTGATTTGTCTTCGGTATGGCCATGCCAAAAGGTTGGCAATTGTCTTTGTGGCACGTAATAAGAAAAATGGAAAACCTACATGCAAAGGTAGCAAATAAGCATTGATTTACTTTACAATTTTCGTAGCTAGTGATTCATATTATGTATGTCTTTTTTTTTAGTTCATCTTCCAATTTGCTTTAATACAGTACTATATTGGTTTTTACTTTCTTATGGAAAGCTAATTTTCCTAGATACAATCATAAACAGATACACCTAGAACAAGTTCTCCTAGCTCCAGATCAGATTTACAAATTCTGATGTGCTCTTGCTCAGTCTTATTCTTATTATACTCTCACCCCATGCTTGGAATTTTTTATCACATGTACTCTCATAATATTATCTTTCTTACAAGAAGCTATCTTCCTGGTTACATTTACAAAACAAAAACAAGTTCTCGTATGCTCAAAAACACCTCTAGGCATTCTTGCATTATAGTGTTGCCCATTTGTTTTCTTATTATTTCTCCAGCATACTCACACATGGAATTTGATATCCTTCTTCCAGTAACACAGTTAGCATGGCATCTGATTGCTGGCTGTCCTATATGGATAGGCTGCTAACTCTGGGTGATGAATGCGCAGAGGAAAAGGAATGTCTGAAAGAAAAAATTCTTCAGTTAGTTAATATATATTATGATGCATTGGATGCACCAAAAAGTGGAGTGAAGGTCAGTTTCTGAGTACTAGTTGACTAGTTGTTCAAAGTCAGGTTTCTTAATCTTCTTTTAATCTGTTAAAACTGACAGTTTCTTTTCCGAAAGACACTTTTGTCATACTCATTTTTTGGTGCTCTGGCAGAAAGCTGTTTCAAGCAGTCATGCCCTTGTTCTTTTTTACTAAATATTTTTTTTTATTTCTTAATGTTTAAGGTTCTATGGTTCGTTGGATGTTTATCTCTACTCTCATTCACTGGATGTTTGTAGCTAGTTGAGACTAGTTTATGTTGTCTATCATTTTACATGACACAACTATTCATCTCACCCTATTGCTCCTAGTAACACTAGCATGGCTTGACAAGATCTTTCCTATGAAAGTGGCAACGCTGTCATTTTTGCTGTGCTTTCATAGTGGTAATATCTATCTTAAGTAGCTATCTTGAAAGGGTTCTACGGATGCCATGTCACTTTTTCTTTGTGCTTCAATAAATTTTATGCTTCTTTACAGGCACATGGTGATCTCTAATGAGTTGTGTTTCTGGTTAATCTATCATTCACAAGGTGAGTTTGCTTTACTAATCTACCATTTCGTAAACTAGGTAGAAGTTCCAATTGAGCTCAAGGCTGAGAAGTATCCACATTACATGGAAAGGTCAAATTCTTATACTTCGATGTCCATCCTGGGATTGATCTTTGATAAAGTGAGTTCAGTGCAAACTGAAGATCCTCCATCTAATGGCGAGTACTTCTGTTCCTGGACTTTGTATGTGATGCACAATTATGAAAACCTGGTTGCTCACTAAGTAATCGATCCAGGTGCCCAGCATAAACTATATGTGCATTTGCATAAAGCATAAGTCAGTACCCAAACTAGCTTTTGTGATGTGCAGCATGCACCCGCCCCCCCCCC